CATATTATTCCTTCTTTATTATCTAGAAAACAAAATCATTAAATGTGGGTTTAGCCTAGGAATTGTTTTTTAAAAATTAAAGAGTAATTTGTTTGTTTTATAGGGTATACCTATCATCTCATATGAAAAATATTTTACTGCCTTTTCCTACTTACCATAATATGTTTTAAGTATTATGACTGTATTTTAGTATATAACATTATATGCTCTCAGTTTATAGCTTAGAACTGTTTAAATATTAATAGGTCTATTAACAATAGGCTGTGGAATTTGCAGTAGTTAATTTTCTTTATTTTTCATTTTCTAATACACAGTGACAGTTATGGTACACATAGTTACATAAAACTAAGAAAGGGGAGGCCAAACTATTGATTAAATTATGTTTTGTTAAAGTTTCATGTCATAATGCTTTTTTTTCAACAAAGATGGCCACATCTATTCTTTACTCTGATTCTTTGACGTTGGGTGTCTCCACAAATTCAGTTCAGTTCTAACACCAGCTGTCTAGAGTTAGCATAAACCCCACAGGTTAAGGGCTCAGTTCCACAGGACTGCCCTCACTCAGGATGCCCATCAAAGCCCTAGGTTGCCACCACTACTTCTGACCAATTGGATGTAAATTCAGATGTCACCACCACTCCCTCATATTTGATAATTCATTAGAAAAACTCAGAACTCAGAAAAGTGCTTTATCTACTGTTACTGGCTTATTATAAGGATAAAACTCAGGAATAAGCTGCCAAATGGAAGCAAGGTATTGGAGGGGTGGAGTACAGAGCTTCCAAGTCCTCCTGTGGGCATTACCGCCTTTCCAGCATGTGAATTGCTTACCAACCTAGAAGCTCTGTCAGTCTCTTTGTTCAAGAGATTGTATAACCCACTCTCTACCAACTCCCCTCTCCTGACAGGTGTAGCTGGAAGTTCCCACCTCCTAATCAAGTATTTGGTCTTCCGGTAACTAGCCCTATCCTGACAGGATCTAAGCGTCTCCCTTCCTGAGTCAAAAGACATTCCTATCAGTAAGGAAATTCCAAAGGTTTTAGGAGCTCTGTGCCAAGAACTCAGAACAAAGATCAAGTATATATTTTTTTCATTATACCACCCTAGAAATGAAAAAAGTGTATACTGATAGAATTCTAGATCTGAGCAATCAAGACTTCAGCAGTTGCTTTGCACCTGTTAATGACCTGGCCACAATTTAACTTACTAAGATGGTACCTTCATTTATAGCTTAGTAATCTTACAACTTTAGAAGACCAGCACCACTGTCTCAACAGTTCATCTTATCCTAAAAACTGGGGAGTTTTTAGAACACGAAGGGGTTATACTTCAAAAATGAAAGGGTGTGAGTATTGAGGGTGAAAAGGCTTATGATTTCTTTGAAAGATAGAGAAGTGAGAGCTTTCTTTGCTGTTTTATTTAGTGTCACTCTACAATGTCTGAGGAAAGATACTGTGTTGGGACTGAGTTGTGTTCCCCTCCCCAAAATTCATATGTTGAAGCTCGAATGCTTTGTGATTATATTTGGAGATAGGGTCTTTTTAAAGAGGTAATTGAGATTAAATAAGGTCCTGAGGCAGAGCCCTAATCGAACAGACTTGGTTTCTTTATAAGAAGAAGAGACGCCAGGAATGGCACACACAGAGAAAAGGCCATGTGAAGACACAGCAAGGAGTTGGCCATCTCCAAGCCGCAAAGAGAGAGAGAGGCCTCAGGAGAAATTGTATCTTGAGCTTGGCCTTCCAGCCTCCAGAACTGACAAAATAAATGTCTGTTGTTTAAGCCACTCAGCCTGTGATGTTTCTAATGGCAGTACTAGCAAACTAATAAATCATGTTATTTTAGACTAGGATTTTAACCGGTGCTCTGTGGAACTTTAGTATCTAGGAAATGTTAATAGAGATTTCTTAAAAGCAATCCTTGGCTTAACAAATTTAGGAAATAATCTATAATATATTCTCCCCTTAAGGATTGATAATGCATATTTATAGGTTAAACATTTCAGAAACCTTGAAGTAAAGAAATCTGTTTAATTTTTTTTCAACTTCAACATTTCCCAAATATATTTGCCTACAGAACATGCCCCCTTTTTTTGTTAAATGAATTGTGTTTCCCATCTAGAAGAAAGTGGCTCGGGGGAGAGACATTTCTCTTCATCTTCCCTAAAGATACGGAATGGTTTTATATTTCTATATATAAGAAACATATAGAATGTTTTCTTAGTCAATCCTGAGCATGAGATATTCACCAATATGACTTCACTGAAAAGCAGTAAGCAGAGAAAGGGAAATGGATGTCTTGTATGTAAGACATAGGAGCTCTGACATCTTATTTTAACTTTTACTCAGAAAGTCATTGTAATTTATTAGTTATATTTTATATAATGACTTGAATGTTTTTTATTCAGTATGAAATACTGTAGATTTTTATTGATTCTGTATTTATAAGGGTTATGTCTCTGATAACTTTCTTGTTTGTCCAAAAAATGTCCTAGCAGTATAACATTGTAGTTAAAATCAGAGGCCATGGAATCAGACTGTTTGCGCATGAATCCTAGCACTCTCTCCCTTGGGCAGATTCTCACCAAGTACCGATTTCCTCCTCTGAAGTAAGTTCAGTAATAGTACCTACCTACCTTTTGAGGTTGTGAAGCATTTAATATAGTGCCTGTTACTCAGTATAATTATTTTTATTCTGAGAAAAGGTATACTATACACAGCAATATGTTGAACATAAATTGTGATGTTCCATCATAAAAAGGATAATGGTTGCCGGTTGTGTTGTTATTTTAGCTGAGGTGAAATTCACATAATATTAACCATTTTAAAGTGGTCAGTAACATTTAGTATAGTCACAGTGGTGTGTAACCATTACCTCCGGTCCCCAAACATGTTCATCACCTTACAGTAAACCCCGGCACCCATTAAGCAGTGACCCCATTCTCCCCAACAACTAGCAACTACCAATCTGTTGTTTTTCTGTCTTTATGGATTTATCTATTCTGGATATTTTATACGGGTATAACCATAAAATGTGACCCATTTGTATTTGGCTTTTTCCACTTAGTATCAGTACTTTATGTCTTTGTATAACTGAATAATATTCCATTATACTTACATACCACAGTTTGTTCATTCATTTGTCTGTTCATGGACATTTGTTTTTGTTTCTACCTTTTGGATATTGTGAATAGTGCTGCTATGAGTATTTATGTAGAAGTATTTGCTTAAGTACCTGTTTCAACTTTTGGGTAAACACCTAGGAGTGAAATTGTTGGGTCATATGATAATTTTATGCTTAACTTTTTAGGAACAATCAAAGTGTTATCCACAGGGGCTGAAATAATTTTCATTCCTACGAGCAATGTACAGGCGTACCAATCCCTACCCTCATCCACATTTGTTACTTTCCTTTTTTGATTTTGGTTATAGGCAGTCTGGTGGATGTGAAGCAGTATCCCATTTCGTAATGATGAATGATATTGAGCAAAAACACATTTTTCGTGTGTTTATTGGCTGTTTATTTTCAGAGAAATGTCTATTCAAATACTTCACCCAGTTTTAATGGGGCTGTTTGTCTTTTATTTTTGAGTTTTTAAGAGTTTTTTTTTTATATTCTGAATAATAGATTCTTACCATATACTGGTATATGACATGCATATATTTTGTCCTATTCTGTAGGTTGTCTTTTCACTTGACAATGTCCTTTGATGCAGTTTATAATTTTCGTAAAGTCCCATATATTTATTTTGTTGCTTGTGCTTTTAGTGTCATATTTAAGAACCCAGTGCCAAATTCCAGATCAAACAGATTTACTCCTGTGTATTCTTCTAAGAGTTTTATGATTACATCTCTTATAATTGGGGCATTAATCTTTTTGAGTTAATTTTTATGTATGGTGTGTGTCAGCGGTCCAGTTTCATTCTTTCTCATCCAGTTGCCCCAGCAGCATTTCTGATGAAACTATTCTTTCTGCTGTTTTTTTTAAATCCACCTCTTTACTAAAAAGGTAGATTTAAATCACTTCACTCCAGCGAAGTGATTAAGATAATTGATTCTGGAGGCAGAACACTTAGGTACAAATTTGGCATTTCTGCTTATTCCCTTGTGACCTTGGGCAAGTTATTTAAACTTCCTAATACTCAAATTTTGTTATATATAAAATAATAGAAAGATCAGCTCCCTAGCATTAGCATGAACATTATATATTATCATATATGTAAAACACTTAAAACATTCCTGACAATGAAAGATCAGTTTTGGTAAGAATTACCATTCATATCTGTGATCCTTTGAAGAAGTCACTTGTTTAGTAACAGCTAACCCTGATTATTGTCCATCAGGCCTAGACTAATAGTTTAGTTCTTCAAAGGGTAAGACTGATGGATCCAGATGAACTGAGATAAATTAGACATTGAGTGGACATTTACAGTATTTCAGGGCATTGTGTATGTTATTTACTCCTTAGCGACAATCCTATTTCACAGAAAGCTGAGATTTAGAGTGTTAGCCAACTTCTTCTACATGCGATGATCAGGTGGCAGATGTGGGATTCATCGGAAGGTCTGCTGCTTCACTCAGTTACGATGAGTTAGTGTAGAAAAAAAGATTTAATAAATGACCTTATTTCTTTTCGGAATTTCATATAATACTGGAGTAAGGAAAGATAAAAAGGATGTATGTGTGTGTGTGACATATATATGTGCCATATAAAACATTGTATACTAATCAGTTCTCTAAGGGAATGTTTTATTGTGATTTATAGGTACTTTTGGCTAAACCTCAGACTAGAGCACACTTGCACTCACTTTTGTATATAATCAGTATTTATAATTGAAGATTGATTTTTTTTAATATTGTATATTAAATTGAAAGAAAAAATATTAACATCCAATAAATCAAAGTCTATTTTTTACTGACATCTCTGAGTCCAGTATTTTAAATGGTATTATGGAAAATTTTACAACCCATACATTTAGGTTTCTTTTGTGGTTCTCTTAGATGTAATAAAGGAACAGAATCGGGAGTTGCGAGGTACACAGAGGGCTATAAGCAGAGATCGAGCAGCTTTAGAGAAACAAGAAAAACAGCTGGTAAGTAGAACATTAAAGTTCAGTTTAACTTTTCAAACAAATTTGGAAATTAGTGTTGGAATAATTAGCTAAACGGGAAGAAGACACATGGCAGGTGGTAAGTAATTTGCTTTACAAAGGAATGGCATTTAATGCCTTTCTGCAATTTCTGCTTACCTTTGTTTATTGTGTCATTCTGCTGACTTTTATCAGGATTCTGCTGATTATAAAATCAAATTATTCTTATGTTTGTAGAAGTCATGAATGCCTAGGAAGAATTATTGCTCAAAACAGAGCCAAATTATTCTCAGTTAATAGCAAAGATAACGTAGTCCTTGAAAGCAAGTAGGGTTACAAGAAAATAATTCATAGGTGTCTTCATATTTTAAGTTACTTGCTATTTTAACTATCATTGTGTCTGTAATAATGAATGTACTTTTAAAAATAGATTGGCTATATTTGAATATCTTATGTTTTAAGATATATGTTGCTTAAGGTATTTTAGTAAACAGCATGATTGAGGTATAGTTGACATGACTGTACATATTTCAAGCATGCAATTTGATACATTTTGATATATGTGTTAACTAGTGAAGCCATACTGCAGTCAAGGTAATGAACATATCCTTCATCCCCTAAAGGTTTTCTTGTTCCCTGTGTGATCCCTCCGACCCATCCCTCCCTGTCTGCCTCCTCCTCAGTCAGGCAATCACTGATCTGTTACTGCAGATCAGTTTACATCTCTAGAATTTTATATAAATGGAATTATATATAATATCAACTCTTTTTTTTAATAGGGCTTCTTTCACTCATAACTATTTTAAGGTTAATCAGTGTTGTTACATTTATCAGGATTAATACCTTTTTATTGATGAATGTTATTCTGTTGTGTGGATGTTCCACAATTTGTTTATGTATTCACCAGCCAATGGACATTTGGGTTATTTCCAGATTTTGGCTATTTTGAATAAAGTTGCTATAAACATTCAGTTGAAATCTATGTGTGAACATATGTTTTCATTTTTCTTGGGTATATTCCTAGGAATGGAATTGCTGGATCATAGATTAAATGTATACATATTTAACTCTGTAAGAATGCTCAACAGATTTGCAAATGGGTGTAATGTTTTCTGTTCCCATCAGCTATATGTGCAAGTAAAGTTGTTTCACATCCTGGCAAAGAGTTGACGTTAACAGTCTTTTCTTCCTTTTAGCCACTCTAGTGGTGGGTAGTAAGTAGATTGTCATTTTAAATAGCATTTTCCTAATCACCTCTTTTCATGTACCTGTTTGTCTGTTGCCTATCCTCTTTGCCAAAGGGTCTACTGAAATATTTTACCAATTTTTTTCAAGTTGTTTTCTAATTATTTAGTTGTAAGAATTATGTATATATTCTGGATACAAGTACTTTATTAAATATATGTTTTACAGATATTCTGCCCAATTCGTATCCTTGCCCTATATTTTCCTAATAGTGTCTTTTGAGGAGCAGTTTTATTTTTATCAAGTACAATTTATTATTCTTCTGTGATTACTACTTTTAGTGTTCTGTCTAAGAAATCTTTGCCTTATCCAAAGTCACTAGTATTTTTCTCTTATGTTTTCCTGTGGAAGTATTATAGTTTAGTTCTTACATTTGGACTGTGAACCGTATTGAATTAAATCACTATGTTGTCAGGTGAGGATAGAGGTTCACTTTTGTGTATGAAAATTCGGTTGTTCCAGCAACATTTATTGCTGACATCTTTTCCTGTTCAAATACCTTGTCATCCTTATAGAATTTCAGTTATCCAAATACATGTGGGCCTCATCCTGAACTCTATGCTATTCCATTGATCTATATGACTATTCTTAAGCCAATATCACATTTTTTATTAGTAGAGCTTTATAAGTCTTAAAGTTATATTTAAAGTTATATATAGTGTTAACCCTTCAACTTTGTACTTATATTTTCAAAATTGTTTTGACTATTTTAGGTGCTTTTCATTTCCAAATGGACTTTCAAATAAAATTGTCAATTTCTACCAAAAAAAAAAAATCAGATTTTGATTGGGATTACATTGTATCTGTACTAATTTGAGAGGACCTGACATCTTAACAAATTTGAATCTTATAATTCTGAACGTGCTATATCTCCCCATTTATTTAGATCTTTAAATTTTCTCAGGAGTGTTTGTACTTATATAGCCTCTATACTTTTTTTGTCAGGTTTATCCCTATTTCATATTTTTGATGCTAGATATTTTGAAAACAAATTCAGTTTCTGATTTTAATTGCCTGTATATAGAAAGAAATACACTTATTGTTTTGTATATTGATCTGAAATCCTGTTACCTTCCTAAACTCACTTATGTTAGTAGCCTTTTTGTAGATTCTATGAGATTTCTACTGAGGCAATTATGATATCTATAAATAAATTAAACATTTCATCTTTCGAATCTTGATGCCATTTTTTTCCTTACCTTATTACACTGGCTAAAACTTTCAATGTTAAATAGAAGTGGTGATAACAGATATCCTCATATTTTTACTTAGGGGAAAACATTCAATTTTTCACCATAAAGTGTGATATTAAAACTGTCGGATTTTCGTAGGTGCTCTTTCTCAGGTTGAAGAAGTTCCTTTTTATCTAGTTTGCTGAGACTTTTTATCAAGAATAAATTTTGTCAAATGCTTTTTTAAAAAAGTTTTGCATCTATTGAGATGATTATCATGTAGTTTTTCTTTAGTGTGTTAATCTAGTGAATTACTTTGATTTTCCTAAGTTGAATCAGGCTTTTGCTCTTGGGATATATGTTATTGGTAATGATGTATTTTTTTCTGAAAAATTTTTTTTCAATTTACCAAAATTTTGTCAAGAACACTTGCATCTGTATTCATGAAACATTTATTTGTGGTTGTACTTTTGTGTAATGTCTTTATTTAGTTTTGACATCAGAGTAATGTTTATCTTAAAGCGTGAGTTGGCAAGTGTTGCTTACTCCTTTACTGGAAGGGTTTGTGTATTTCTTTAAACGTTTGATAAGATTAATTGGCAAACACGTTGGGAGTGAAGGGTTTTTTGGACTTTTTTTGTGTGTGAAAAGGTTTTAAACCAAATTCCTTTAAAAAAAAGAAAAGATATGGATCAGGTAATCTGTCTTTTTGACTGAGCTTTGGTAGTTTGTGTCTGTCAAGTAATTTGTCCACTTCTAAATTTTAAAATGTGATGACATGCTGTTCTTCATAATACTTATTGTCCTTCACCATCATTGGGATATGAAATGATGCCCCCCTTTGCATTCCCAGTATTTATAACTTGCTTTTTCTTAGTTGTTATCCCTCATCTGTCTGGCTAATGGTATATCAATTTGATGAATTTTTTACAAAAAGAAAACAAAAACAAAACCTTGCTTTAGATTTCATTAATTTTCTGCACCTCTTTCTAGTTTCCAAATTTCTTTATGTTATTTCTTTTGTTTGTGTTGTGTTTTTTTACTTCAATTTTGAAGCTTCTGACATTTTTTTAATATAACCTTTTTTTGCCTATAATTTTGCTTAAATAATTTAAACAATTTTTAAATTACAGTTGAAATGCAGTATTTTATTAGTTTCACATGTAAAGCACAGTGGCTAGACATTTAGCATATTACAGAGTGATAATTCTAGTACACACTTGGCACCACATATAGTTACTGCAATATTATTGACTGTATTTCCTATGCTGTACTTTACGTCCTTGTGACTATTTTGTAATCACCAATTAGTATGTCTTAATCCTTTCACCTTTTTGAATATAACCTTTAATGCTATACATTTCTTTTTAAGAACTGTTTTACTGCGGCCCACGCATTTTGATACGTGGCATTTTCGTTTTATTAAGTTCTAAATATTATTTCATTTTCTTTAACCTATGACTGACTTAGAATCATGTTCATTTCTGCTCATTTATGATTTTCCTTTCATATTTTCCTTACTGATTCTAGTTTAATTTTATTGTGGTTAAAGAATGTACTTCATACCTTTTTAACCCCTTAAATTTATTGTGCCTTCTTTTCTGATGAAGAATAGGTATATTTTGGTGATTTTTTTTTTCAGTGCATGCTTGCAAATGACTATTCTGCTGTTGTTGAAGGAGTTTTCTTATAAATGTTGGTAAGATCAAGTTCATAAGTGTTTTTTTGAAAATCTTCTGTATCATTACAGATTTTCTATCCATCTGTTCTAAAAATTACAGCAATATACCTGAGAGGAGTTGTTGATATCCCTCATGTTAATTGTATAATTTGTCTGCTTCTCCTTTCAGTTCTTTCAGTTGTACTTCATATATTTTTAAGCATTGTTATTAGGTGCATAGACATATAGGGTTGTTTGGACATCTTTATGTATTGATTCTTTCATCATTATGAAATGCGCCTTCTTATTTCTGGTAATATTCCTTATTCTCAAGTTTTGTTTTGTTTGTTTTATCTGATATTAATGTAGCCACTCCAGATTTCCAGATTTTAATGAGTATATATATAGAATATATTTTACTATTCTTTTACTTATCCTTTTTTAAAAATTAAAGTTGGTTTCTTGAGATAGCATATATTTGCATTCTGATCTAACCTGATAATCTGCCTTTTAATGAGATTTTAGATGCACCTTTTCACTTAGCTTGTTTATATTATTAGCTTTAAATTTACCACTATGCTCTTTTTTTGCTGCGTCCCACCAAGTCTTTATTTATTTTTTTCTCGTTTCCTACATACTTATGGTTGAGTGTTTTTTATTTTCTTTTGGGCTCTATGTAAGTACTGTTTCATAGACCAGCTTTGTACTTGTGGACGAAGGTACTGGTTCCTCGCTTTCCCGTGAGAGCGTATGAACTCAATTATCCTCTCAAATGACTCTTTTCTCTCTATGACTTTATGACAGCTTCTGGTTCATTCCATGATCAGGGAGAAAGGGTATATACTGGGGTGGGCAAAAGGAGGTTTACAGTTGTGAGTACACAACACAGTTTATTCTTGTATTACTATTGATTAATTATTGTATTTTCCATATGAACAACTGGAAACCTACTTTACCTTACTCTTTTTATGTTTGATCTATTCTTTTGAAATAAATCTTGAGGCCTGCCCCTCAGTGATTTTATTCCCCTTTTTATTTCCTGTCTTAGGAATTAGAAATTAAGAAGATGGCCAAAATCGGTAATAAAGAAGCTTGCAGAGTTTTAGCCAAACAGCTTGTACAACTGCGGAAACAGAAAACAAGAACTTTTGCTGTAAGTTCTAAAGTCACTTCTATGTCCACACAAACAAAAGTGATGAACTCCCAGATGAAGATGGCAGGTGCAATGTCTACCACAGCAAAGGTAAGCAGAAGCCTTTATATCCATAGACTTAGAGTTTAATCTAAGACATTTAAACACAAACATTCAGATCCATTTTAAAAGCACTTCCTGATGTATATGTAGTATAGAACGTGTGTAATTTTTAGTAAGTTGACTTATAATATTAGATAATCTAGATAACCCCTTCAAGGTTTTTATTGATTTGTTTTAATAAAAAAATTTCTTGTTCGGGGACATTTCCATTGTTCCACAGCCACATGTTGCTTCTAAATTTTTAAAGTTGACTTAAAACAATGTTTACTTTTCTCTCTTAAATTGTGAGAGATTTGTGGGCTTCTTATTTCATTAAGCTGTAAGTTTTGATTATTTTAGAGTAGTAATTTCCTCTTGATTCATTTTCATGTATGTGTCAGAAGGATACATGAATACTGTTAGAAGGATTTACCAATTAATTTTAATAGGAATTTGTTTAATTTACAGTTTTTATATTAAAAATGTTTTTACTCTAGAGTTTAAAGGACTCTAAGCCTTTTGATTTTTTAAAATAAATGATGAGCTACTTAGTGCATATGAAGTGCTGTGAGGAACAAGACAAAGTTTAAGACAAAGACTCTCCTCTCACAGATCTTACAGGCCAATTGGGAGGTAGTATTAAAATATGTTTGAAAAGGACACTACCCCACTATACATCAGTCTATGCGAAGCTTCAGTGAACCATACAGATCTTTGAACAGAATGATCTGAAAGACTTTGCAGAAGACCTAGGTCTTAAAACATCATTAGGCATTAAATATAAGGAAGGATGAGTATGACTATGAAAGGCAAAATGAAAAAAGCCATGGAGGAGAGAAAGCATGAAGTTCAAATTAGGAAAATGGTATATATATAGTCGATTCTCATTATTTGCAATACCTAGTGTTCTACAAAGTTGGGAACACTGAATGAGTGAATGCTGAACCATTGCTCCAAAGGGAAGTTCAGGGTTAGGTTCCTGTGAGCTTTTGGCGACAACATTTTTGTCAACCAGTGTGTACCTAAATCTGTTTTATGTGAGTTTCCATGGAAAGAAACCATGTTTAATTTTTGACTTATTAACATTGAACTCATGGCAACAGCACTATAACTCATGCCTGAACAAAGCTCATCTAACAGTGTATTTTCACCATAAGCACATCACAGCCTTGTTGTGCTTAGGAACAATAAGTGACACTTTAGTACTATGCTTGGGGACAATTTTAAACAGCAGAATCACCAATAAAAAGGCACAATAAATTTGCAATAAATAAATGGCTAAAAGGACACCTGTTTACAGTCTGAGAGCTGACACAAGAAGACAAGGCGTTGCCTTGTTTGAACTCAGCTGAAAAGCCACGTTGGGTGACTAAAATTTTTGGTGCTCTGTGCATGTCCACACATGAGCACAAAGCACTGCAAGTTTGATTTGAGGTTAAAAAAAGTCTAATGAAGAGGCAAATTCAAAAATACGGAATACAAAAATAATGTGAGGACCAACTGTAGTTTTTTTTGCAATTTTCTGCAAGTGGTAGGTTAAAGATAGCTAATACGGCTCTGCCATGTACAGATATCTGAACTGTAATTTTCACTTAAATTTCTTAGAAATGTGTTAATTCAGCAAATATTTGCTTAGATACTAAAGGTAAGAACTGTGTCAAGTATTACAGATGAAGTAGGAAGCAAAACCAGGCAGGGGCTTCGCCTGTAGTAGATTACAGTCTATTTAAGAAGCAGCCCATTGAAGAGGTAGTGTGTGCAGTGATTGGGCACATATGCCCTGGAGCCCGCTTATTGGGTTCAGATCTCACTCCCACTTAGCAGCTGTGGGACCAGGCCAAGTTCTTTCATCTTTCTATACCTTCATTTTCCATCTGTAATATAGGGAAAATGGTCACACGTAACCCGAAAGATTTGTCAGGTAGTGTCATTTTAACTCTAAATATTATTTTCTATAAAGTGCTTAGAATGTCTGACATGCAGTAAGATTATAGGGGCATTCACTGCTCTATTATAATTATTATCATTATCGTTGCTATTAGTGTTATTTACAACAATAATGTAAATTGCAAGTATTATAGTGACACCAATAAGTATAAAATTTTATGTATACTGAGTAGGATTTAACCAGGGTTATATATTCTCATCTGGGTATCAGGAACTACTACTTTAAGAAACTGGTATATGAGGGGGCACCCCCAAAAATCTGGAATTTATTTATTAAAAAATTGTATATTTATTCTTATGTGTTTGAATTTCAGTCACCTTCAAAGTACTCTTCATTTGTTCAATACATCTATTGAGACACTTTCCAATGCTCAAAACAGTTTTTGAACTCATTCACTTTGATGCCTTTTAGTGCTTCTGCTGTTTTTGTTTCACCTCTTTCACTTCAGCAAAACATTTCCCTTTGAGGACTTTTTTCATCCAGGGAAACAACAAAAAAAATGTCACTTGGGGCAAGATTGGGTGAATAAGGAAGGTAGGGGATGGGGTGGGGGCGGGGGGTGCGAGAGGTTGTGCTGTTTTTTTGCCAGAAACTGCTGGACACAGCTTGGTATGGGCAGGTGTGCTTGTAAATCATCCATCATAAAATAAGCAAATGCATTGAAAGAGTCTTCAAAACAATTTCATTGAAGGCAAATGCAGCCTCTCACAACACCACCAGCTGGTACACTGATACAGATGAGATCCTAAAACACTCATCTAGCAGAGGGAGCCTGTACACAAGGGGCCTCCTCTCCAGAAGATAATTTCGTTTTCTTTTTGCCCCGCCCCCCATATGAACTGCAGTCTGAAATGTTGGTAGAAAAAGCAAATGGAGAAGAGCGTTGCAGGCAAGAGGGAGCACACACAAAAGTCCAGTGCCAGGGGAGGGCGTGGCATGTTTAAGGAAATGAAAGATCAGTGTGACTAGACAGCAGTGGTGCAAAATGAGACTGACTTATTAAGCAGAGTTCAGTTGGTATTTGGTCTCACAGGCCAGTTACAAAATTTGGCTTTTAATACTAAGAGCAATGGGAAGCCATTGCAGAGTTAGGTATGTGTAGGCTGGCGGGAGATGGAGAGAATATAGTGTCTGTCTTAAAGATTACTTTGGCTTCTGCATTGTATACAAATTGTCTGAGAAAAGACTGTTCTGGCCAAGATGGAGGCATAGGTAGATACACTTTGCTTCTTCGCACAACCAAATGAAGGACAACAAATTTAAAAACAAAAAACAACCAGAAGTGCCAGAAAATACAACTGTATGGAAGTCTGACAAACCAAGGAGTTAAAGAAGGAACACTCATCCAGACTGGTAGGAGGACGGAGACAGGCAGCCAGGGCGGAGAGGATGGCAAGGCAGTGGCTTGAGGACCGGGCAGGCAAGGCAGCAGCTGGCAGTCCCACATGCATGAGCAGATAAACCTGGAGGAACAACTGGGGAGAGAAAGAGACTGCACAATTCAGGGTTCCAGCGCGGAGAAATAAAGCCTCAAAACCTTTGGCTGTAAAAACCTGTGAGGGTTGTAGCAGCAGGAGAAACTCCCAGCCTTACAGGAGGGCTTATTGGAGAGACCCACAGGGTCCTAAAACATACACAGACTCACCCACCTGGGAGTCAGCACTAGAAGGGCCCAATTTGCTTGTGGGTAGTGGGAAAGTGACACAGTGGGGCGGGCAAGGCAGGTCAAGCGTTTCCCAGATAAGGTTAAGTTAAAGGAGTTTATCATCACCAAGCCCTTATTACATGAAATGTTAAAGGGACTTATCTAAGAAAAAGAAGATCAAAACTATGAACAGAAAAGTGACGACAAACTCTAAGCTGTCAACAACTGAACCTAAAAAACAAGAACATACTAAGCAAAAACTAGAACAGGAACAGCATCACAGAAATGGAGGTCACATGGAGGGCTATCAGGAGGAGAAGGAGGGAGAAGAAGCAGGGAATAAGAAGCATAATTGGTAGGTGCAAAAGAGATGGAGGAGATTAAGAATAGTATAGGAAATGGAGAATCCAAAGAACTTATATATACAACCCAAAGACGTGAACTTAGTGGGGGAGGGGAATGCTGGTGGGAGGGGGGTGCAGAACAGAGGGGGATAAAGGGGCAAAAAAATGGAACAACTGTAATTGCATAGTCAATAAAATGTACCTAAAAAAAGACTGCTTCACAGTCTGAAACTAGTATGTTTTATATTGTATAGTGTCTTTTAATACTAAATTAACTCTATATAATGCATATATGTATATAAGATATTTTGTCTATCCTAAGTGGCATTCATCTCTTAATAAGTGGGTTGTGAACATGAAAAGTAAAAATTCTTTTCACATATTTTTGCAAAACTCAATGTTTTGTGTTTTTCTTTAAACCATGGTTTAAAATGTGTTAATGGATTAAATATATATGCTAGTGTATCCTTTTTAGTTTAGAAATTAAATTAATGACTGATTATGGAAACAGAGGGCAGGCCAGTTAAAGACAGGTGAAGAGGGAAAAAGTGGGACAACTGTAATAGCATAAATGATAAAATATTTTTAAAATTTTTATAAAAATCAAATTACAATTATTTTTAATTTAGTCATTACCTACTTACCATGTAATAGACAAATGTAGTTTTCCCATCTGAAAAACAATGGATTTTTTATCGACAGTGTTTTTTAATTATGTACTCCATCGTCTACTGTTCAGATGAGGTTTTTCCACACCCGTCTTTATTATATAGATGGGTTCCAAACGATATTTTATTTTTTTCTAGAATACTTAACATTCTTATGTTTGGTTATGGCAGAATGTATATCTTTTCAAAGCCTGTGTCTGTTTGATTTGTTCTCTTAGGAGTTATGCATGGTAAAATTTTCATAATTGTGTAGCTCACTTAGATATTTTCGTATTTTAAAGACAATGCAGGCAGTTAACAAGAAGATGGATCCACAAAAGACATTACAAACAATGCAGAATTTCCAGAAGGAAAACATGAAAATGGAAATGACTGAAGAAATGAGTAAGTTTAATAACTTGTAATGAAATTTATAGTTTTCATTGTTTGAATTAGCTGAGTCTATTTACCAGCAACCTCACATTCTCATCCATGAAAGCACAAATATGGAAAAAAGAAATAATACAGTACCCTTCTAAATGAGCAGCTGTATTGTAACTCTTGTATTTTTTTTAATTGGTAGTGTATATGGCTCAAAACTCTATTGTTTAACTGAAGAAAAAAATACAAAATATGCCACAGTTCTATATTATACTGGCCCCAGCTATTTTACTTTATTGACTAATGGACCAAAACCATCTTGTGAATAAAATAACTCTTTCTGGTATACATTGGATGGTTTCAGAATTGCATTGATTTTTTCATACCATAGATATTAGAGGTAGAGATAATGGAGCTCATTCATTCTTTTTTTTTATTTTTCCCCAAAGTTATTTAATACTTAGTTTTCTTTTCTTTTTGAATGTAAACCAATTGCATGTTGTGGTAGAAATATGGAGACTAGAAAGGTATAAAGCGTATTTTTAAAAAGTCTATCTTCACAACACTCAAAAATAGTTACTATTAATGTTGTATGTTTCTTTCCTATATTTTTCTGTATCTTATAATAGATCATATTACATGTTTAATTTTTAGCTTTATCCAGCTCTTAAAGAACATAATAGTATAACATAAGCATGTACTCATGACCTTCAATCTTCCCTGAAGCCATATTTTAAAAATGGTTTCAATTTTGCATACCAAAAGTATTAAATAATATCAGCCCTAATTTATTGAAACATTCTTATAGTGGTTAATAAGATTGTTTTAATATGTTAAATGTGTTTGATAATCCTTTCATAAATGTTTCTATTTTATCTTTGTGTAAAGTTCTTAAATCTCCTCTGAGTATTAACTTAATTAAGGCTTTGATTCAAACTACCAAATTCTTCACAGAAGGACTGTACCAGTCCCTGTTTCATCAGTAATGAATGATCCTTTATAGCATCCTGGTCAACATTAAATTATTACTTACATGCTGTGTCAAAACTGGCATCACTGTTTTGTAAAGATATGTTCTGTTTTACAACTATGTAGGGATATGCTAGTTTAGCACTGCTAGCATTTTAATTTTATAGCATTTAGTGCAAAAATGGTGTCTAATTAAATTGCCAAGGTTTCTAAACTTACCATTGTTCCAGTATTCTATTTCAGAGTATCTTGCATTTAGAATTTAATGACACTGTGTGTATTTTTTATCAAAAATTCTTTAGTTTTTACTTTGAATCTTTACTTTGAAAAATACGGTTTTTTGAAACATCTTTAGTTATTTTTAATGACTATGAGAATTGTCATTTATATAATGATCACAGTATCTGACATGTTTATTTAGTTTCCAATGATGGCACAGGTGTGAGCATATCTTATCAGAGGAATTAACTTTTCTACCAAGCTGTACTGAAAAGAATTATTAATAAGCTCATACTTAACACACATATTTATCACAGTTTTTATTTGTGTGTTAGTACTTTGCAAGTGATTCTGAAATAATAGTAGTTATTGATGGTTGTTTTTTCTATAACCAAATAAAGTACGTTAACATTAGTATTTCCTCCAAAGCTAAATTTTAAATTTCAATGGACATCTTTTTTAAATTAAAGTTTACATTATGCAGTGTTGCTCTAAAACTTGTTTACATTCAAGTTTTAGGAAAAAAATTCTTTGAAAAATCTTTATTATATCCTTGATTAATTTTGTTACACTTTTTCTGAAAGTATTTGTTAATCCCTGGTTACGACTCTGGTTTTCTCTTCTGCCTCCTCCTTTCATTTTTTTCTGCCACTACTTCTTCATTGAGGCCCTTATAACTCTGACCTGGACTCTCTCCCACCCTTATTACTTCACTACCATTTCAGTATCGCAACTGCTACATTATTTTATAGAAGCTAGGGGTAAGGTGAGCATGCCAATCAGATTCCTCCAGTGGCTTCTTGTTGATTACAAAATAAAAACCATAAATCAAAAACGATTTTCAGGTCAAGCCCCTTTATTTTGCCAGTGAGAATACGGAGGGTCAGAGGGGTAAAGTGGCTTTCCTCAAAAGTTGTGTAGTTACTAAATGGAACAATTGAATTTAACATCAGTTTATTTCTTCAGAAGTGATGTTCCATTTAATTAGTTTTAGCATTTTCCAAATTTACTTTACACTATTGAGTTAACACAAAATATCAGATTTTCAAGTCATGCTCATACAAATCAGAGCTATTAAACAGTAGCAAGATTTATTAATAATGTCAAGGATATAAGCAATTAAATGAACATGCAAAGCATCCCAGATAAACCGAGACCTTTTTGTTATCAGACACAGAGTCGTTGACCCAGAATGACAGATGATGTGTGTAATGAGGTTTACTTGTCATCTCATGTTGAAGGGAACATTTAAATTAAGAAACATCTTAAATTTATAGCTCAGATGGTGACCTACCATATGTGAGTCATGACTCATAAGCCCATAGATTATAGGTTTGTTTACCATAGCAGTCCTAATAAACCAAGAGCATCTTGCTAAGAGCATTTCATAGACAAGGACTCTCTTACTAGAAAATATACGTCTGTTTACCAGGAGCACATTTAGCAGCATGCTTACAAGGAGATCAGACTAGGTTACCTGTCTCCTTTCCTTTGGGGGTATCCCCCAATAATCAGGAGAATGATCATAAGCCAGCTGATTATTTCCCTCACAACCATTTTACATTCATGCTCCTTAAATTATAACCAAATAAAAAACTTACTCTTCTTGTACACTTCCTCATTGTCTTCAGCCATGTCTTTGTTCCACTGTATTCCCTCTGTTCTCTTTGGTCAGATCCTGTGCTTCCTTCAAGAACCACCTCAGTTACTTCCTCCCAGTTGGATATAATCTCTTCCCTTTTTATAGTAATTTATTTTTCTGTTTATCGCAATCTTTTATTTTTCTCTCTTTTCTATGTAAGTGTAAACTACCTAAAATCTTCATTTTTCTCCATCTATCAATTGTATTTGTACCACATGCTAGGCACTTCATTTTGAAGATAAATGAGACATATTCCCAGGCCTTCAGAAATTCCTTCCCCACAGCTCCTAACATGATACCTTATATGCAGAAGGCTTTCCATAATATTTTGGGAAGGTAAGGGAGGAAGTGGGGAAAAGGTATGGCAATAATAATGAGCTAAATTGGACATCATTCTTTGGACAAGTTTAATAAAATATTGAATCTTAAACTTTGTTAGAATATTCTACATACAACTTGAATGAAAATTTAAGAAAGTTGAAAACACAACTATAGGTATAAAAAGAATAAATTGTCTCCCAGGTATTTACAGGATATTGGATTCTTACATTTTCTTCCACAGTCAGGTTTAACAGCTACTAGCTGGACAGATTTAATTTGAGGAATCATAGTTAAACTTTAATCCTGTAGCTGTATCATGTAGTTCTTGTTCATTAAAGATGTAATTTTTTTTAAAAATGAGAGTAGACTTGTTTTATTATAGGATAACTTATGTTGAAAGAAATGTTATTCCAGATTTAGTGCCTTCAAAATGTATTCATCAATGAACTTCATTGACATTTGAAAATGATTTTTGTAATTTGTTGGTTCACCTAAGTTGGCTATAATATATAATATAATATAATATAATATATAACATAACATAAATGTATATATAGTTGGGCTGCCTCCTAAAAATGTAAATCTAACCTGAAATCTTTCTGAAAGTAAATGCTTTTTTTTCCCCCATCCTTCCAAGTCAATGACACACTCGATGACATCTTTGATGGCTCTGATGAGGAAGAAGAAAGCCAAGATATTGTGAATCAAGTTCTTGATGAAATTGGAATTGAAATCTCTGGAAAGGTATGAATGAATGTCTTCTCAGTTGGAAGTAGTTTCTACCACTTTTTTCATTTAAATGTTTTAAGTTGTCCTTTATTATTAGATGCACGTTTTTATATTTGTTTGAAAAATAAATTAAACCTCTTTGTAGCACATCCTTTATGTCCTAGTCCAAATGTTTAATGATACACATTTTTTTCTGTTTTCCTCTCTTTAACATAGATGGCCAAAGCTCCATCCGCTGCCCGAAGCTTACCATCTGCCTCTACTTCAAAGGCTACAATCTCTGATGAAGAGATTGAACGACAACTCAAAGCTTTAGGAGTAGATTAGTCAAAAAAGCTGTAATATTTTGCTTATTTATAATTATTTAGTTATAATTATAAACCAGGCATATTGCCGTTTTCTTTTACAAAACATATTTATTTTGCAAAAGTGAAGACCATGAGTGAACAGTTGTTTCCTAACCCATGGCTATTTTGACTCTTTTGCCAAAGAATGATAATGATGCATAACGGGAACTCTTTGGATTTTCATTAGAACTATTTAGGAGTGATGATGTGTAAAAAGTTGACAACCTCTCTGCATGGCATAGAAAAATTTATATTCTTTACTTAGTGTAGTTTATGTTCTAAATCTTTTTACACTAAATACAAAAATCTTGTTAAATGCCACCAGGCATCGACTTGAAAAGAGTCCTGTAAAAATATTAAAAGTATATAATTAATTCTGTATCTGTTGCTTGTCCTTTGTAAGCAATACGTGTTATGACTATAGGCAATTTAGCTGCCAAATTATTTTTAAATGATCTAGAAGAAGAGTGCTATTTAAACATCTGTCTTAAACAAAAACTGTTCATGAGTTTTTGTTTTCTTTTTCCTTTGGGAGGACATTCTAGTTGATAAGTTCATTACCTTTGAAAATGTGCTTGGCACCTGCCTTAAATAGCACAAACATATTGTGCACATCTTTATTTTAACTGACAGAAAAGAATTACATTTTAAACTAAAATTGGGGCCTCATACAAAAATCCAGGCTGTCTTTTGTAAAGCTTATAACACTAAATTGAATATATTAGCAAAAATAGATTCTGAATTAATATTTTATAGTAATAAAATGATATATTTTGGCCTTCCAAGAAGTAAGGAGATTTCTTCAATGTGAATTATTATTTAATCTGTTTAATTTTGAACTGTATTAATAGGTGTATTGAACCTCCTAAATTGAAGCCATCATTCTCAATTAAGTAACAATACTATGACAGTACTCTAGTTAAATTCTAAAATAAACATTAGCACTTTTTTCTTGGTAAATAAACTAAAACTTTGTGAGAAATTATTGCCTAAATGTGTGTTAACATCTTAGCAGTATTATTAAAGGTAAAATTGCTTTGGTATTTAATGTCTGTATGGAAAGCAAGAAGAAATGAAGTAGCAGATTATAGAGATAGAATTTAGAATTATGTTAGTTTTGAAAAATGATGTTGTAATATATGGATTCTAGCACATTCCGCCATAAAAACTCTGGAGAAGATTATGTAGGTGTAACCTGGGATATTAATTTGGGATGACGGACATTTTGGACTAATATTGGCAATACAAATATGTTTTAGAACTAGCATGTGACATATGGATTGGTGGAAAGAATGAAAAGCTAAACAATATAGTTTATAATCTATAATCCATTTTATAATGTTCAAAGATATGGTTCCATTATTAGTAGTATTAAATACAAGTACCCTAAACATTAATGAGTCAAGAGATTTTACTGGATTATAGAATGTTAACCCAGAACTATTTTGATTCCTGGATGTAATAGCAATGCCAGCTAATGTTATTTACTTTCTTGTTTATATGTGGGGGGCTTTTGTTTTTAAAAATTATTTTGTTAAGAAAAATCCCAATAAAGATTTATTGCTATTATGCTTTTATATATCTCTTCACTCTATTTTTGGCTTCTGCTAAGTTAAAATTTTTATGCGTATCTGGTAATTTTTCAAAATAAAAAAATTAGATCTGACTCTACTACTTACATTTTAACAACAACAAAAATTGTCTTTTTAAAAATTAGCAGTTGATCCTGACTGGTGTGGCTTAGTTTTTTGGGAGCTGTCCCACAAAGCAAAAGGTAGCTGGTTTGATTCCTTGTCAGGGAACATGCCTGGGTTGTGGATTCGGTCCTCAATTAAGGCGTGTTGAAGAGGCAGCTGATCCAAATTTCTCTCTCACATTGATATTTCTCTCTCTTTCTCCTCCCTTCCCCTCTCTCTAAAATGATGGGCTGATTGATTGATTTAAAAATCTAAAAAATTCACAAATTTCTAAATACATGTAATAAATAGCCATTGCTCTAAAAAAGAAAAAAATAGCAGTTGGTATAGGACTGAAGTTTATGAATGGAGTAAGCTTAAGCATTAGGTTGTTTTAAATGAAATTGATCTTATAATTCCTTTCTTAGAACTTTCAGGGGTTAACATTTTAAAATAGTTTTTAAACAGGCAAGTCTTAGTGATTTCTTTTATTTCAGTCATACATTGATACCACAGAAGACTTTGGGAACCCAAAGGAGAAAGTGGACTCATTCTTATTCGGCTGCATTTATAAAATGTTCATAGCACTTCACAATCACTATAAATTTGTAATGTTATGATATCCTTTGCTAAAATTAAAAGTTTCTTTGGTCCCTTAAGATTAGGAACCAAGAATTCTTATACAATGATTTTGATGAAAATACTGACTTTTTAAAAAACTTTCCCTAACTTCCTGTTATTGGCTAAAGAGTTTAACAACTTCACACAAGAGGTTAACAATAGAGAGCAGAACAGTATAGCAATTTCTGTTACTGAAAAAGATGCAGCCCAGTGTTGCATTCTGTTATTGGATGTAAAATTAATGGATGGAGATTTCATAGAATCAAAGTAGAATATGGTACAAAAGTGGCAATACTAATAATAGCACCTAGTCTTAGAAAACATCAAATGGCCATCTCTCAGATAATTGTGTTGCATAGACCCATGCCCTGAGGGAGTACCTGGTTAAGGCAAGGCCTGGTGGCTAAGGGCTCAAGATGGTGACCCTCTACATTAAAAGTGGAGTCTGGCCGCCAGTGGACTTTATTTGGCATGTATAGTGATATGTGCTTTATTATTTATATTTGAATGCCTTTAGAGGAAGCCTGCGCTTTCACCTCCATATGCACGTTCCTTACTAGCCCAGAAGCCACACTTCTAGCCTGATCCCTGCGGGCCTACCTAAATATGTACTCCTATTTCAGACACTCCCAAGTTAAAGTAATGTGTTTCCAGGTCTGAGAAGAGATCTATGAGGACTTTCTCCTATGATGCCATTATTCTGCGTGAATACATGTTTGCAGCTGTGGAAAAACAGATCAGCTTTCCAATTTCTCTAGAAGCTGAGTCCCACAAAGGGTTTTAATCTATTCTTCTAACCTTAATTCTTTCAAGTGTCAATTGGATCAAATTTGCCTTAGCGGAAGCCTGAGGATTGTGAAATCGATTTCAGGTACCCTACCGCTGAAACACCGTTCCCCGCACACCACCATCTTCCTAAGAATTTGAGAGCATGCACACACTCCTATCCCCAAACACTGAAAATATTTATTTAGACAAATTCTTCAAAAGTAAATTCTGTGAGTTTATCAACCATGTCTACTGGGTAAAATTGAATGTACCAATCAGTAGAAGTGACATCTTTCCATTTCAATGGACTATGCCACTGAATTCTTGAAGATTTACCACAAAAGAGTCCACAAAAACATCAGATCAAAAGGCTACATGGCTAAAGTCAGCTTTTGGTATTTATTCTTGAAAGAATGAACACAGATACTGCACAGGGAATTACATATGTCATTTAATTGCAATTTAGAGTTAACTTTAAAAGAACAATATCTAATAAAATATCTCAATATAGTTAGAAAATATAGTCTCAAAACTTAATAGTACAAATGAATTGATAGTAAATAGCAGTGCATTTACAACTAACTTGTGAATAAATAATTGCTGTTTCAATATTAAGTATTGACTTAAAGTAATTCCTTTTAGGGACAAAAATTGGTTCCCAATGCCAGTTGTGTCTAAACTTGAAAATAATGACCTTATGGGTGAATATCTGATAATATGAAGTAAACATATGCGTGTGATGATTATCTAAACCTGTACATGCTTGTGTTTGCTATGTGAAGTCAGATTAAACATTCCCAACAGATTCATACTTAAAGTGCAAAAAGCCACTATCCTAGGTTTATATTGCATTACATTTTGCTTCTATTTTCAAGTTTCAAAGCTGTGCATATGTATTTTTATGTATGAATGTGTATATGTACATCACACCCTGCCTTTTGTAAATTAAAGAATCCTTTCACCAATTTATGTTTTCAGCAGGTGATCTATGCAGAGAAGGAATTTAGACATCTACATAGCTGAATAATCTGAAATTTGCTCTTGAACAAGAAATATATGTATATTGCCTCAGTACCTCCTGTACTTAAGGAAAAATGATCAGGCCACTGAAAACTTTGTTGTTGTTAATATATCAAAGTTTCTAGTCACCCAGTTGGTGGTGATTGTGGGTGCACAATCATGTGTGATCTACAGAGACTATGACCTGTATTATACTGGTTTTTATTAATATCACAAAAAGCAAGAGACTGGACAGTATAATTTATTGAGTAAGCATTCCAAATCAATAATAAAATTTGGTTTAATTGCTCCTATTATTGTTATATAGAATCAATTAGATAAGCATTGCCAGCAGATTTACACTCTAAATGCAAAAAAGTCACTATTTGATCTTGATATTACATTACAGTTTGCTTCTACTTGAAAGTTTCAAGGAAGTACATTTTTATAAATTAAATAAATGTCCCTTGAGCTACAATTCCCTGAATTCAAAGGTCATATATCAATCTTTATTAATAATAAATCATATTCTAATTAAACCAAAAGTGATTGTCTTTTTTGATAGGACCCCAGATGATTTTGTGGGTTATGAGATTTTAAAAATAAATTACATTGTTAAATTTAGTCACCCTTCAAGTTTGTAGCCATTATTAACAGCACACCATTTAATGATGAACAAATCATTAATCAATGAAATTAAATTAAAGATTTCATGCCTGGTATAAGCAAATGCTTTCCAAGTCACTGAAGAAAACAGCAAACAAGCCCATATCTTCCCTGCACTACTGCAGTTTACAGAACAGCAGTTTGTGGCTCAAGGATCCATAAAGCATATTTTCTGTAGCTAAACATCAAAAAATGTTAATGTCTAGGAAGAATAAAAGGTTATAAATTAATGTTTCTACAAATCTCTATTGAAACATTTCTTTGGGTACTATGCCTTAACTGTATTAGCTTCAGAGGTGTCACTTCTGATTAAAATTTATTCCTAAATGCAATAAAGCACCTCTGGCTCTTAGTGCAAAACTTGAGTTCAAACTATTAAAGCTGAAGGTAAGCAAGACATTGGTTAGGGAATTATCTAATCGGATCTCCTCTGGTTACTGAGCCACACAAGTCAGGGTGAGAATTATTGTTTTATTCCTATTAATATCTTTTGGTTTAAATGTAAAATGCAGCTTCTGAGAATTATTTTAAAGAAAGTAATTCATCAGAATAATTTAAACTGAATTTTTAGAATGTAGAAAAGAAAAGCTTCTGCAGAAGTTATTGATGTACTTTCTGAAGCCAACCAAGTAACTAATTTCTATTTTTGTTGGAGAGCAGAAAGGAATCAACAATAGAAAAATTTGCAATTACACATTAGGAAATCTTATCTGCAGTCAAGATTTTCCTTGGAAATAGTAAATAAGCTCTGATTCAGACTTGTTTTCACCCGTTTTTCCCTCTGCCTTCGGTTGCAAAACCAAACTCTTACTACCTCTTTCTCGAGATTCAGTTCTTCAGCCATCCTCATGATCTCTTGAGAGGACGGTTTATTCTGCTCTCCGAAGTGTCTCTCCAGAGCCCCTTTTGCAGCAATACTGGGAGATAGGATTGGGGCAGGAGGTAGGGGTAGAAAGGGTGAGATTTTGTTTTTGGCACATCAAAATTAAATTAGGTTGAATTTCCTAAATATTAACATGAAAACAAAACTTAAATACTCTGAAAACACTTTTAAAATTCTTCAGAAAAGGTAGATGTACGATTTGTCATACTTTTAGATGCTTGTCTTATGCCGGGTACCATTTATTACCAGAGTCACAGGAAGAAAGGAGAGGAACCCAGACTTTCTATGTTTATCCCACTTTGCACCACAAGAGGGCACTGACTTCCTGAGAAGGGAAGGAACACTTTGGGTAGGCATTTCTAAAAGTCCTCCAGAAATCATTTAAGCTGCTTACAATACAAGAGATGAAATGTATAGTGAAACTAACCAACTAAAACAAAGCCTATATTTTAGCATTTCCTCTGTGAACCTCACAGACATTACAAAAAGATCAAACAACAATCTTTATGGTTTAAATTGCAAGAAGTTACCTTTAATTTGAAGATACTAAAATACTGATTACTAGTTTTGTTTTTTTTAATAACACAGATACCAAATTGCCTGAGCAAGACTTGTATCTAACAGTTCAGCATAAAAAGTCACTGTTTTTAGAAGTGATCAGATTCTGTTTTATCCAAAACTTGTGAAGCAAAAGCAATAGTGTTCTTGAATCAAACAATACAGTTTTTTAAAAATGACTAGCTCTCTATTTTTCACCATTAAGGTATTAAAAATATGCTTTTTTCATACTTTTTTTTCAGTTGACTATATTCACCTTACATTTATAAATTATGTTGCATCTATATTATGCTAAAAGCTTATTTTCATTTGTAAAATATCCTTTCCTTCCTCTAGTAACATTTACTATCTCAAAAGCATACCTTATAGTTGTTCTCCGTTTCCTTTTCCTTTCATTTACTCCCACTTTTTCACTGTATAAAGCTGTAATGGGGAAAAGAGGGACAAGTACAGAAACCAGGTAGGGTTAAAAAAAAACAACAAACCCTCAGGTTTGGATTTAGATTTCAAATGTTGATTATAAAACAATGCAAAATAAAATCACCATATATTTTTGTTTTAATTTTTTGTAACCTGTGTGATTTTATATTACAAGCCCTAGATAAAAATCTTAATACAAAAATAAATATTAACTGTTCAAAGACAGTTATCTAAAAAATCATATCCCTACTTTTTTTTTTTGTTGTTGGATCTCTTGTTCTAAATCTCCCAAACCTTGCTCTTTATCCAGCCTTGACATATTAGTATAAGTAGATAATTTTATCACATTAAATTGCTCATTTGGCAGTTGCTTATGTCATTCACTTTGAAGACTAATGTGTGCAAATGCTCTGGTTATGCCAGTGTAAGGTTATAAAAATGATTGCATGCACAATCACTATCGTATAGAACCGAGGCAAAAAAAAAATCTGAATGTGTTAAAAATCTATTTCACCGTTTCACATCTATGCCACACTGTCTTAGAAAGCTGTCTTCATACAGCTTATTCTCTCATTATACCTTCTCAGTAAATTTATTTCTGCACTTGCATTAGCCTTCCTTTCTTTTGGTGTGTTGAAACAAGACAGTTATTTTTTATCTTAAAGAAGAAAAAAACCTCAAATAACCTCAAACCTCTTGCTTTATCATTAATCCTACCAGTTGAAGCCACTGTTACTAGGTTAAAACATCACAGAGCCTTCAGAGATATATAGCTTTAGTACCTCCCACTTGCTCCGCTTCCTCCAGCCATTTGGATAATATTGCTTTTAGTTTGCATGCATTTTTGAAGCTGAGCTGCAGATTTTCAAATCGGCAGATAGTTGTCTGACTGAATTCAGAGCCATGCACAGCTGCCAGGGCCTCCCCAACATTTGTTTGGGTGTATCCTGTGAAAGGACAGCAAAGACCATTAGCTTCAGCTTTCAGGAAGCATTCATTTTGGTCCAACATTGCATAAATCTGTGCATCTTTCTTTGTTCAATACCACTTTTAAGCATATACTTGTTGGAAATTTAGAATTATTTTGTAAGGTTCAGTATAAAATTGTCCCGTACTTCAAAAAATATTCCTTCTAGTGAATTATTTTTTCTGGGAGTCAAAATAATTCATAGAGAAATAACTGCCATACATACTTAGTCAAATTGTATAGATGTGTTATCAGATACTTAAAAATTCTTTTACTGTTTGTTATTATTAAATATCTGATGATATATGCTCAAGTCTATAGTATATTTAATACAATGCATGAAATATATAGTGCTATATCATAACTATTTTTATCTTTACTGTTAGAGGGAAAAAAATCAACTATATTGTTGAAGAGTGCCAAATAAAACTAAAGATTATGCTTACTTTATTTTGCTTCCTATGTTTATTATGAGACTTTGATCACCCAACATTTTATCTACTCCTCCAAGCACACTGATTACATCACTTGGTAATGCTTCCATCTCCTGGCAAAGATCCTCATTGATTGTCCCAAACATTTTTAGAGTACAAGTTGCTAGAAACCAACACTATCGAATGTGAAACATTCACAGCAATATAAATACCAAACTGAAAATGAATGTTATACATTACCTACTGCTAATTTATTGCATATAGTAACTGCATATTAATTTAGGGCCTACAGCTATTTACCTGTATGCATAAGGTGGTTACATATGATACCCATCGATAAATATTATTACCAAATAACTTATGATTCATTCCACAAGTACAGAGGTTTGAACTATCGTTTTCAATCCATTAAAAAAATTCACTGCTTCATGAATTTAAATCAAGATTAGTTGTTGCAGTTATTTTATGTTGAAACACTTTTCAATAGAAAGTGAGCAAAGGCTATAAATACGAAATTTACAGAAATGAAATTACAAATGACTGTCAAATATGTGACAGAACACTTGAATCTTCATTCAGATGAGGAATTTTAAATGAAATTACCATGAGATACAACTTTGACCTATTTGATTTGAAAGGATACAAAAGGTTAATTGCATATTTTTTCCCAACTATTTATTCTATTTGTCAGTCACTGCTGTAAGTTCTGAGGATATGTCATTAAGGAGAAAACAAAAATGAACAAATCAAAAACCAACAAAAAAACCTCCAGTCTTGATGGAGATTATTTTCTGAGGGGAGGTGCAAGAGGCACTCATGGTGCCAGTAAAATTTGGTGTAATTCCTACACAGTCAAATTTGACATCTACCAAAATATGCATACTCTTTGATGAAGGAATTTTGCTTGTAACAGTTTTCCTACACATATATGTGTATAGGTACAAAATGACATTTCTGAAGTTTCTTATTGTAACACTGTGTTTCACAAAATAATATCAGAAACCACATAAATTTATCATCAGTAGGGGACTGGTTAAATAAATTGTAAAATGGAATGTAACAGATCCTTTTTTAAAAAAAAGAAAAAAAAGCTCTCTAAAACTTAATATGGAAAACTCCCCAACATAGTTAAATTTTAAAAAACCTGCATGAAGAAATATATGTACTTGCTTGTATATGATTAATATCTCTAAAAGGTTACACAAGAAACTAACAACATTGACTAATAGGAAAGAAAAACAGAAGGAATACATTATATTTATATTATTTTATGCCTTTGAATAAAATGAATGTATCATTTATTCAAAAGTTCAAAAAAAATATAAAGAACACTGGGCACTTTTAACCTAATGTTGAGGTGGTTATGTTGAAAACAAGTGCCATTAATTTTAAAATCTATGTGTTGAGGCTATTAAAAAATTACAAGGAAATAAAGGTTTGTTTAGAGTTGCACACTTGTACTAACTTAAATCCACAGTACAGATGTAGAATGAGAGCTGTCTTGGGCTTTTGAGGATAGTAAAAGAGATTGAACAGTAATACAGTAAAGATCAGGTGACTAAACTATGTGGCCCATTGCTCTTAAAAAGCACATACCTAACTTAATTCTTCTCACTTTAAATTCATTGGCAAACTTTTCAAGTTCTCGAATTTCTGGAGAATCCATGTCTATTGGCTCTTCAACCAATTTACTTTTCCGCCTGAGTTCCTGCTTGAAATCAGAGGCTGTGGGGTCTTCTGCCAGGAGAGGCTGGTGCATGGCAGGAAAACCGTGACTCAAGGTGTGGTCAGGAAACTTATAGAGACAAGGGGTTAAGCTGCCTGTGAATAAAGAAAAGGGCCATTTGTAATTACCCCCCATTTCTATACAAGCAAGGTTTTTGCCTGTTAGAGTCCATTCTTTCGCTCTAACCAGTCCCAATTCTAAAAGGTGAACTGACATTCGGTCTTCTGAAGAAGTACGAGAAGCTTAGTATAAATGTGATTATTTATTTCTCACCTTCCCTAGAGCAGCAAAAACAAAGATATGCCAAAGGAATTGCAAATAATTAAAATAAAAATAAGTAAATTCTCTCAGAAGTGTAAGTTTTCCATTATTTTTTTTATTATTAAAGATGCCCATTTCTGGGAATCTGAGGTTCAACTCTAAGCAGAATGTATATTGTTTTGTTTTTTAAGTTTAATTTTTATTGTATTTTTTCCATTACCATTTAATCCCCTTCTACCCCTCCCTCCCCATCACCACACTGTTGTCCAGGTCCAGGACTCCTTTTTCCTTTTCGCTCCATCCCCCTCCCCCTTGCCCCCGCCACCAGCTGTCATCTGCTCACCATCTATGAGTCTGTCTCTGCTTTGCTTTTAGTTGAGTTTGTTCATCAGATGTATATTTTGATTTCTGTTTCTTTAATTCACCGAACAAATAATCTGTGATTTTTTTTTATAATCAAGTCACATGGTTAAGTGCTATACAGGAAAGTTTTCTTAGGATCAGAAAATTGATTTTACAATATTTAGAAGCCTGACTCTTTTATCAAGAAATGCTTAACTTCAAGGGGAAATAATCATGTCTTTTTAAAATCTAACAAAGGCAGGGAGAAAGAGAATTACGAGAACATAAACTACAATAATATGGTTTAAATATATTTGAGGAGTGAATAAACATGAACAAAAGGTAATATTTAAAGTTCTATTAAAAAGTCAGCAAAAGAATTTTTGAGAAGTATTCACTATAATGAAATCATTTTTGATCATTTTAAAAATATGCATACAGAATTTTAATTAAATTTGCTGTACTAACCGGCTGGTAAGACCTGGACCTAGGCAACCCTGGCCGGCTTGCCCCAGATTCCCACAAGAACTGGCCCCAAGGGGTCCTCATAGACCTGCTGTCTCTTAGAGGACAGACCCAAAAATGGACACCCCAGTCTTGATGTTCTTGACTGAGCTGTGTCTTCCCAGGTGGAGAAACCATGGACACCTGCTCTGTGGGTGGGGCCCCCAGCAGGCACCGTCCTGTGTACAGTGCCTATAGACTTGTACACAACACCTTTAATATTGTAAAGGTGCTGATGCACAATCATGTTTCTGTGAACACATTATGTTCCTAGTTCATGCCATTAATGATGCTATGAAGCAAAAAAAAAAAAAAAAGACAAGGAAGAGTACAGTTCTACATATGATAGGTAATCACCCATGAATAAAAAAATAAAGCATTGTGTTGATTGAGCAGATTAAGTAATAAATCACAAAAAACTAAAATATCTAAATAATTTTAAATTGCTTCCAGACTTCATTCTTTATTAGCAGAGAAGAGTTTATCTCAGTTGGGGAGCATGGGTGAAAGATAATATAAAGCCAAATTCTTAAACATTTTGTTTTCTTCATCAATTCATTACATTTTAATTGGTAGAGATGTCACTTCAATTTATGTTAAATGATAAATGTATCTGAGGTATTTTGATATAAATAAAATATTCAGCAATTACTCATTTTTTGTTATGAATATAAATAAATATTTAAACTACAAATAAATTACTACAGAATACATGCAATAGTCATTCTTGGAAATGTAGAAAATATACATCAAGTTTATGCTACCTATAATTTCTTCATAAATACATTCACAAATCAAAGACATGACTAATGTATTTTGCCAGAACATATAGATCTTACATTAATATATCAAAATGTAATGAGTAAAGAATACTGTAAGTAAGCAAATTGTTGGCTTGTTTATAGAAGAATATGTAATTATAAAGCGGACTCCTATCCAATAGCCTATATTATTTTTCTGCAGCAAAGTAAACATACAAGTGAAAGATTAAATAAAAGGCATAAAATAAATATAGCTATTTCACAGGTATGAAAAATATCTGAGAGAAACCATTCATGTCTAGAAAATTTCATGCTACTTTTACAAACCAAAATTATTCAGTTTTAGTTTTTAAAAAGTCAGTTACTCCAATTAATGTTTTAGTGGCTGTTTACATGATCAAACCAGACAAAAATTTTAAAAGCAATTGTATCAATGTTTAATTTATTACATAGTTTATTTTTGAAAATGCTTATTAATTTGGGGTTCATTTTTAGCTTTCTATTAGTTTTAGATTTTTGCTAGTTGAAGCAAAAGAAAGATTAGTACATAAGCAAAGAAAACTGATCACATTTAGTTTAGCATTTAATTAACAATTATCTCAAGACTTTTCTTTCAATCCTTTCAGAGTTGGTTCTTACATGTAAAACAATTTTTACGTCTTTCCCCATTCGGAAATTTCAAATCCAACTTAATGATAAAATACCCCGAGAAACAGTAAAAGCAGAGACAAAAAGTCAGGCTGCTGTTAGATTTTGTACATCTAATGTATTACAAGCTACTTTTCATCGGTCCCCAACCTGGTTTGCGATCACGGACCAGTTTCATGGAAGGTGGGCGTGGTAGGGGCGGGGAGCTGGAGCTCAGGTGAGCCTCACTCTCCTGCTGTGGTTGGGGTTAGTGGGGAAGACAGGAGGCGGAGCTCCAGCGAGCTTTGCTTGTTGCCTGGTTCCTAACAGGCTGGACCTACAGGTCTGAGGCCCAGGTCCAGAGGTTGAGGACCTCTGCTTTAGATAACTCATTTAACCTATGTCAAATGATGTTTATTTTAAATAGGTATTTTCTTTTGCATATCTTTTACATGAGATGCTATAAGACCTGAATTTGTGAGCGATCCTGATCATTCAATTTTTGTTGCTGATCATAACCACGCACCGCTACAAATTTTCATGACACTTTGTTCTGTGTTGCCATTTTTGTATCCTTATATAAACAAATGATGTAGGAAGAATGTGATTTTTTTACCCACAATTTAAAATTTAGGAAACCTGAGTAAAAAGATGTTAAATAAATTTCCTTGGGTGCCACAATGAATTAACTCTATAGTTGAAACTAGAACTGAAGTTCAACGACCATTGCAATAAATCACATCAAAACAATTGCCTCATCTACACTTGGGTAAATTAAATTCTTTCTTAGAAAAATTTCTGCCGTTTAAACACATTTGGCTACATTAAAACAAATACTTTCAGACAAAAAATATTATAGCTATTTGTTAAAATATTAGAAGTGGGCAATGTTTATTTCCAGAAAAATTTTAAGAGTATTTTATATGTTGTAAATACTCTGTAGAAACATATATTTAGAAAATAAACTTGATCATGAATCTGTAAAAAGTGCACAGTAAATACCATGTTCAAAGACCAGGCATCCAGGACAAAAAGGAAAGCACATGTGATGTTTTTATTTTTCATTAAATGAAAGTTTCCGCAATTATCCACAGGGACGCAGTTTTTCTGGAACTAACCCTAAACAGAAAATCACAATGAGTCGTAAGCACAGCCAGATGCACTGCAGTTTCTGTCATCTGATGCCATATTTGGGGGAGACTGAGGAGAGATTGGTATGGCATATTTGGCAAGATATTTTAAAAATCTTTCTAAAGCCTGGATTAGTGAAAAAGGGAAAAGGGAGAAGACAAAAGATGCTGTGACTCATGTGCAGCAGCGAGTCCCATATTCAACATCCCAAACATGGAGAAAGCAAAGTTGTCTGTAAGCTTAGATAAGCGCTCACTGAAATAGCTTGGAAGTGTCTGCATATTCTTCAGAGCCCAAAGTCTATTTTCATATTGCACATGAACCCCCTACAGCCTTGCTGGATTGCTCTACGTGTATTTCTGTGTGGTGGAAGTGGGAGGACCGAGGTGAATCTTTAAAGCAGGAAATGGGAAGCAGAGGCCTGGCCTGCTTTGCAGGGCTCTTCTTTGGTCCCAATGTACCATGGGACCAAAGTGCTCTTCTGCGGCATGTGGCTCTGACACATGCTGACAGCATCTCTGAGGTGATGGCCTCGAAGCCTTAAAAGAACAAAAATGTGAAGTAAAGAGACAAAGCAAAAATACTCTTGCCTTGCTGTAGACATACCCAGGAATAAGCATTTAAATATTTCTATTTATTTTCTTTTTTCCCTCATGCATGACAATGTGAAGAGTCATACATTTGAATTATGATCTCTTCTCTTTTGTGTACTGGTAAATACTATCCATATACAACAGGGGTCCTCTGCCTGGTTTTGTATATTAAGTTCATTTAAAACACAGCCATGCCCATTTGTTTGCATATTGCTTATGGCTGCTTTCCTGCTACAATCACCAAGTTGAGTCTGCAGTCACCAAGTTGACTAGTTGAGACAGAGACTAACTAAAAAACAAGAAAAGGCTACTGAGAGGCCCTTCATGATTCAGTGGCAAAAGATCTTTAGAACTAAGAAAAAAAAAAAAGGAAAGAAAAGAAAGACAATTTGAGAATGAAGAGACGGACTTCAGAATAGGCTATTTCTCTATGTCATCTGTCAAACTGATTTCTGTTGCCTTGTTGCATTAATCCATGGGGAGTGGGCACTTACAGCCATAGTAATTTTTTCTATTATCTACTTCTCATTGAAAAAAAAAAAAGACATTCATCTTCTTGGCTGATTTCCAAACCTCAGCTATTTTGCTTATCTCTTAAAATTAATTTTCAAACAAGAACTCTCACACTAGGTCTTGGTTTGGCCACTATGTAATATAATCTTGCTGGGTTAAACATTCATTACCATGTAGCTGACTTGCTCAGTTTCCACAGGCAGGGGGACAGCCCATCGACCTTGTTTCCTAACTTTCACCCAGCGTGAGAAATGAGAAAACACTCAAAAATCAAAGTTTTGAGAGTGTTTGCTGTTCTTTTGTTTTGTTTTGTGATTAACTAGAAGAGATATTGGATAGAATTTAAAATTCCTTGGTTGCTGTTATCGATACTGTAGGGTGTTGAATAATCTGAATTCTCAAAAGAGACGAGACAGAAGCAGCAATTTAGCTGCAAGTGTATCTAAACAGAAGATCAAAGGAGAAAGACGGGCTGCGTTGGTAAAAATTAGCCACAACTCAACTCTGGTAAAGTTGAGGTACCCACACAACTTAAACAGGAAGAGATGGAAACTTAGGGATGTTAAGTGACTTGAACAAAGTTCGTAATTAGTTCATGGTGTGGCTAATTCATTGCTCCCAATTAGTTAATCTCTTTGGTATGTCCACACCTGGACCATGAGGTACAGTGAATTAATCTGTAATTAAAGTCTGCCCTACTAACTTGAACAAAATATTAGCTATAGCTTTCTTTTTCAGTGGGTTACTAATGTAATGAAATGCTCAAATTAAATGTAAGCATCAGAGGATGGGTAATAAGATGCCCACATTAGCAGGATGGTAGCTAAGAAGGAGAGGGTGGAAGGATTGAGCAAAGAAGGAAAAAGGACTCACAGACATGGACAACAGGGTGGCGATTGCAGGGAGGAGGGAGGTATAAGGTGACTAAATGGTAATAAAAAATATAATAAAAACTATTTTTAAAATATAGCAATTTTACTTCCTTTGAAATATAGTGCTTTCTGTAGCTCTACTTTCATATGGAGTGTGTGGCAGTGAACCTGTCTTTGTTCTTCATGATAAGAAACTTCTGTGGATTGTGTGATTTGATGAACATCTTGAGACTACTCAGAAAATTCAAATGATGTAACTACGTTTCTCTTCTGCATTTTATACCTTTGCTATCTTATTTCTGAATTACTGTGTTTTATAACTCAATTTGTGTAGCTTCTTTGGAGATGAAGTCAGGAGAGCTCAGATTCTCTGAGTTTAATCTGCTGTGACACAAACGCTAGTACTGAATATATGTCAAAATAATGACATTCTAACAAATTAGAAATTATCACATTTTAATGATATCACTCAAAAAATAATTCAAATGTAATTTATATGCTTGCTATGGTGAGTTTTTCTTTCAGTAACACATTTCATTTTAAGACTGTAGTGACACCTCCAAATCTTAGGATAACACTTGGTTTTTGAGGTCACCCAGACATGGAATCATTTCACAGGGCTTTTCCAAGGGCCTCTCCAGGTTTGCTGAGTGCCTGCCAGGACAGTTGTACCAGAACAAATTGGGCTGCCTGAGCCTATTCGCTCCAATCAGGGAAACTGCAGAATGTTAGAATTGCCGGGCAGCTGGGAACTCAGTAGGTCCACAGCTCTGGCCTTGATCTGGTAGAAAGAAAGGTGATAGCAAAAACCATCTTGAAGCATTCGGTCTGTGGCTGATCAGATCTTCGGGCTGACCTCAATCCATTGCTGCCAGTTGCTGGGTTTCGAGGGCGCATCGTGTTGCACTTGGCTCCAGGGAAGTCTCTGTGAATGAGGAGCAAGGCCTCCCCACCAGAAGAGCAGCACGTGGCCATGTGCTTGTCCTTTTCTGTCTTATAATCAAAATGTGGTGGAGGCCACCAAAAGCATTCTTCCTGTACCTCCACTGGCTAAACGCAACCATTTTATTATTTTATAATGAAAGTAGTTCATCATCAATGAGGGTTCTTCTCATTAACCATGAACACTGATTAACAACTAAGTGTCTGAATCATAAATTATCAGTTTTCAAAGGGGAAAAATATATATGGCTTTCCTTATTTCCTAATCATTAAAAAGAGACATTAGAACCTACAGATAATCATTAAGAGCATCAGTCTTCATTTTCCACAAAGGTGATGATACTAGTTTATTCAGAATGCTGCTTTCATAGAATGTAAGAAAAGCTACTTAGTTCTGGAATATTTTATTTTTAAACTTTTAATGTTTCACTTTTACAAAAATTTTATAACAAATTTTTGAGAAATTAAAGGTTGGTAAATTAAATAACTTGTTTAAGTTTTTCCAAATTTATAGGCATAAGTCCATGTTTGACTTTTTCATTACTTATTCTGGATAACAGAACACAAGAAAAAAATTTCCTACTATCTGATTCCTTTATCCAAAGTTTCCCTCTCAGTGTTACACAAGTGTACACGTGCACACACATACACACACACTTGTGTTCTAACATAGAGCCTTTAGTAATTTATTGTCACCCATATTTCTCTCCCTGAAATTATAAATATAAAAGATTAAAAATATCTAAAAAATTGGTGCATAACAAAATTTAAACCATTGAAATATTAAACCATTAAAGTGTTTTCTCTGGCCTAAAATTAAGTCATGAGTTTTGAGATGAGTGGATCCCTTTGGTGATATTTTTCTCTTCCTTAAGAAATATGCTGTCAGTGCCTCATACAAGGATCAATAGATAAATAGTCTTGATCTAGTGATGATTTGTTTATTCAGAAGAAAAATGTATGTAAATTTCTGATCAAGAGTCTCTCAAACCCAGGAAAGTTTCCCCAAACTCGATTTCATATATAAAGACAATTTTTCTTACCTGCCATCACTCCATAGGTTGATGGTTGGTTTCCATAATGACAAGAAGGAACAGAATAATGAAGTCCAGTTGCTGTGTTTCCCAACATTGTCACCGAGAAATATGTACGCAAACATTTAGAAGTTTGGATCAAAGACAAAACAGACGGGACTGGTAAGAAAATGTATGAGGATTCAAGACACATTCGTTTCATTTCCAACATACACATTTATGCGATTCTTAAATTTACACGCCAATTGTTTGCTCTCATTTGGGGGAAGTTCTCCGAGTAAGTTAAAACTAGTGGTTAAAGTTTATCTCTAGTAACGAGATCATAAATCATCAAAGTGGAGAGTAGCCTTCACTGATTGTCCTATACCCTGTGAGGGGATGACTGGCCAGTTTGAACCTTGGCTAATTGAGAATTGTAGAATTCTTGTAGGTTCCATTCAGTATAGACATTGCAGTGAACTGACTAGAGGAATAGTCTCTTAAAATTCTTCTGTAATACGGTATTATAAAGTGGTCTTTCTCTGGAAGAATGCATACAGAAATTGACTCTAGCAATCTTTACTTTTGCTTATTCTCCTGACAAATTTCTTCCACCAAAGAGGAAATGGCAGAGCAGCTAGGCTCCTCATAAAAGTTCCCCTGAATTTAGAGGTTTGTGAAAACCCTGTGACAATGTATGATATGTTTATGTTGATGATGAAACCTTGAGGTGATAGATTTTTGCAGGCACAAAATCAATTTAACAATTCTAATGATAAAGCTGGTAAAAAAATAAGTTGATTGTTGGGTGGCAATGTCTATAAATGTTGTATGTGGTATAGAAACATAAGCTTGTTCATAGTGAATATGCCTCATGGAATCAATGTATATTTTGAAAGTAAATTTAAATTGCTGAACTTTTTAAAATCAAGCTTTAAACATGAATCGCCAAGATAACTAAAAGCATGAGCTGTTGACAATAAAATCACTAGCTAATGTTTCCTCGTTTATTTAATTTTCTTATTCTCCTTTATATCCTGAATATAGTGTTGGCTTTTCATAAATATACTATAATTATATCTCCTTGAACAAATTCAAGAGATATTGAAAAGTAGAAAATTTGGATCCTTTGAAAATATTGAGATATGATCTAGTAATTAAAGCCAAGAAGTCTCTTCAGAAAGTAAAACATGTTTTCTCTAGCTGTAGAACAGTGTTTAATATTTTAAAATATCTGCATAAATTTTCATTTTATAACTAACATGCAGAAAGAACTAAAGTCGTTTTTCATTATGATTACACATAAAAACTTCGCTATGCATTCAAAAATTAAACAAATAAACATGAAACAAATTAAATACCCAATCTTCTTATTATACTCATTATTTCTAATTTCTTATTTGGACAAATGACTATGATTTGATGGAAAAAATATAAGTACAATGCCATTATCATTTAAAATATACTTAGGTCATTTTTACTCATTATATTTTTTTTTTTACTTTATAAAGTTTAAACACATTTTATTTCTCTGATTTTGAGAAGATGGATAAAGAATAGGCTAATTTACTAAATACGTTACTCATTTATTTTAAAAATACATTTTAAAAATAAGTAAATGGGGTCTGTGCCTAAACTTGCTGTCATTATTTCAATTTTAAATATTTTCATACTGAAATAATATTCACACACAGTAAATTAAACAAACAAAGCATTATTCTCATCTCTTATTTATAGAAAGATCTATTATTAAAAATATACGATTAGCTAGCTATGTGATAGTTTAAATTTTTATATCATATATTTTTTATAAAATATTTTATTGTATTTTTAAAATATGTTTGAGTGTACTTTCAATATTACCTTGTAAATTAAATTATAAGACTCTTAGGCAGGTGAAAAAAATCTCAACATTAATAATTTTACCAAAGTCTAGCTACATAATCTCTATATTCTTTAAAATCCAGCTAGAGATTAATGCTGAACTTACATCTATATTTGTAAACTGCCTAATTATAATAAAAGATAAAACATAAATAATTTAAATCAGAATATGAATTTGTCAACTAAAATTTTGATTTCTAAATGTATAAAATTGATTTCCTATTTTGATTGCTTTCAAAACAAATGGAAAATGAATATAGCACATTGTTATTTAATGGAAGGAATTTACTCAATTTTGTCTTTTTATGATTCTACTTTAAAACACTTTATTTGTTACTGCATGCTTAAAGAATGTATTGTATTTTTGCAAAATATACTTATTTGATTGTATTTAAGATAATACATTTGAATTCTCAAGTTTAATTTTTATTTAGGAAATTTATATAAGAAAATATTAAAACTTGGTTAGAGGTTGAAATCTCTTCAGAATGCAGTCTTGGGAAAATTTAACTCAGTTCCTTGGCTCTAAATGTTATATATTGCTTCTAGTTTTTATTTTTGAGTTTTGAATTACGCTAAAAAGGTAAGTTTATTAAACTTATTTAGTTTATTTTTTTTGAAATCCATTGCCGTTGGTATTGGGAATCATTTAGTTGTCTTTACTATAAGGTATTTTGGCTGGTTTTAGAATAGTAGCAAATGTTATCTAAAAACCAAATATATTTGTAAGTTAAAGACGTTACACCTTTAAAACACTAAATTATTTTACATTATTTCTTTAGTTTTTTTTTTTTACCCATGAACTTTCCATTAAAGTGATTTTAGGTTAACAATAGCCAAATTCACTGTTCAATTGTGCAAAAAACAGATCTTTATAATCAAACCAAAAATAATTTAAATTACTACACTTATATTTCTTGAAAAGTTTCTTAGACATTTTGACTTCTTCAGTATTCTTAGTACTCAAAACATATTAAACTGAAAAGAAAAATAAAAAAAAAAGCAGAGAGATTCTAAACTAACAAGATTCAAAGCATCTATTCTGAAATCTTTAGGCCGAGCCACCTGCAGACTGTTACTGGAATCAGTACCTGTGGACATCACATTAGTGGCGTGGTTGGAGACTGGCAGGCACTCGGCAGCGCTGTGATGCATTATCAGTGGCAAAGTTGCAGAAGACTCAGAATTCAGAGGTATAAAGGTATCGGCTGAAGTAAAAGGTTGGCAACTCATTCCCACAAGCGAGTAGAAGAACGAAGAGTATTGTTGCTCCCCAAATCGGAGTTTTATTATATTACTGTCTCAAACGGCTGTTTCAAATCTCACTACCTGCATATATACATCAGGAAGCCTCTGAAGCGCCAAGAGGGCGCGTGCTGGCATTTATACTGCAGGGAAATCCCTTTATACATGTTAATCATCTTTTCCCAGGGGTATTGCTTTATCAATCTGAACTGCCTTCCTTCTAACTCAAACGTAATCCACCCCCGAGAGGAAAGCCAGTTCTGGGGTATAGATTGAGAGGGAAGGAGAAATCTGAAACTTTTTTGACAACTTCACTAATTCAGACCTTTCAGAAAGAAATAAAAAACTTAGAAAAGTGTCCCTCAAAGAAATAATGCTCCAATAAATTGAAGATTAGGTGTCTTTTTGTTACTAAAAAATGAGAAATTTATATACGAGATTTTTTCTTTTTTGATAACTTTCCATTAAACTTGCAAAATAACAAGAGAATGTACTATATAACTTGGAGAAAGTATTTAAGTTTAAACTGATAGCATAGAAGACTAAATATAAGAATGAATATATAACCATTGATTCACACTCAGAGATGGATTTTTGAAAAACTATGAAAACCAATTTAAATTTTATAACATTATAAATGAAAAAATATTGCATAAAATTACAGTTATCTGTAGAGAAGATGAACATGAGTAATAGTGTTGCTCCCTAGATTTCAATTTACTCATTAAAAAGTGAATATATAGTAGGTTCTTACTATATGCTGATGAGCTTCTAGGCACTTTCCACAGTTATGTGATGCAAATTGGACAACAGCTGTGTGAGTTGTATACCATACCATCCTCACCACACATGACTGTGCCTGAGCCTCTGCCCTTAGCCATTCTGCTTCAGAACTAGTAGTAACCATGGTAGCACTAGGTGCAAACTTTGTATACAGAATATATTCACATTATATGAGAATGAAAAAAAATGCTACAATTGACTTGATAAATATCAGCATCAAGATTTTATAATGATCATGATTTCAGTATATAAATGAATAATGTGATACTTTAAAAAAATGTATACTGGAGTTAGATAGCAAACAGAAGTAACCTGGCAAGCACAGATATTACTGACCTAAGCAAGGACCATACCTCATTAGATTTTTTTTTTTAACTTGTATATTTTGGAATGTTTCAAGGTAACTTGGAATTGGCCATTTTCTGCTAATTTAATGTTAAAGTTGAGAAGAATGTATTTTCATAAAACTTAAATGTTTTGTTAATAACCAGTTGATATTTTATAAAAAAGATAAGGTTGCTCAAATCATTAGCTATTGCCTCAAAATATGTATTTTTAAAATGACACATTTGTCCATTTTTTCAAGACTTATTAGTCTTCTCTGATGAGAGATTACAGGTAATCAAAAATAATTATCTCACTCTTGCAAAATTCTTATAATTTTCAGACTTCACATTTACAAAAGTACTTTTCATTGTGTTTATAAAAATAATTTGTTAAACTAAATACAAATAAATTTATTGAGCATTGCATACTTTAAAAATTAAGTAAATGATATATGGACAGAATAGCACTTGAAAATTTCCCCTAATAATTTTGCTATTATTATTTAGAACCATTGGAATATGCTAGTAAAATAGATCAGCCAATAGATAGATAATGAAGAGGATTATAAAACCTGCCTGGAATTACCATGCTACCTACAATTCTAAAATTGCAATCATAGACATCATTCCCTTAATAATATTTAAATTTTAACGATTTGCACTGTGTAATGCAAACCAGAATGTTAACAGTTAAAGTTGTGGAAAGCCAAGAATAGAAGTTCCCATTATATCTTCTCAGAACTATAATCTGTTAACTTATCAATTTTCAAGTCAACTTTTTATAAAACAGTTTTAATTTTATGCAATATTTGTTTAGATCCATTATACTTTTAACCATTTTTTTGCTGTTGGGTGTTTGTATTTTTTCTGCTATTCACTTTTATAAATAACAATGCAATTAATTTTTGTGTCCAAAATATTTTTTATACAATGTATCTTTACCATATAACTATTTTGAATTGTTTTAAATATCATCCCTTAGGATATATTCTTAGAACTAGTATTACTGAATTTGTTTTATGAGATTTTAAGTTCCTGAAAACACTTCCAAATTGCTTTCTTTTAATTAAAAAGGATATTTTTAGAGTAGCTATAGGTTCAAAATAAAATTAAGCTATACGTACAGATAGAGGCCTTGTACTCCTTGCATCCACACATGCATTGTCCTCCCCATTGTCAAAATTACCCACCAGAACGGCACGTATGTTATAATTAATGACTCTACACTGACACATCATTGTCACCCAAAGTCCACAGTTCACTCTTGTAGATTCTGTGGGTTTTAACAAATGTATAATGACTGTATCTATGATTGTAATATCATACAGAATAGTTTCACTGCCCTTAAAGTTCTGTGTTTCATCCATTCATCCTTTTTTTCCCCCTCCTCCTAATCCCTGACATTGATTGATGATCATTTCACAGTCTCCATAGTTTTGGCTTTTTCAGAATGTTATATACTTAGAAACTTACAGTGTGTACCTTTTCAGATTTACTGTTTTCACTTGATATCATACATTTAAGCTTCTTCTATATTATTTTATGGCTTGATAGCTTATTTCTTTGTAGTGCTAAACAATATTCCACTGTCTGGGCATACCACAGTTAATTTATTCATCCATCTCCTGAAAAACATCTTGTTGCTTTCATGTCTTAGTAATTGTGAATAAGGCTGCTATACACCTCTTTGTGCAGATTTTTGTGTAAGCATAAGTTTTTAAGTTCCTTGGGTAAATACCAAGGTGTGCAATTGCTAAATCATGAGTATGTTTTATTTGGTAAGAAACTCCCAAACTGTCTTCCGAAGGGGCTTTACCATTTTGTATTCCCACCAGCAATGAATAAGAGTTCCTATTCCTCCACATCCTAATCAGCATTTGGTGCTGCCAGTATTTCGGCTTTCAGCCATTCTAACAGGTATGCAGGGGTACCTCACCGTTGTTTTAATATGCAATTATCTGATGGCCCATGATGCCAAGCATCCTTTATATGTTTATTTGCCATCTGTATTTTTTCTTTAGTGAGGTGTCTGTTCAGATTGTTTGCCCATTTTTAAGTTGGGTTATTAGTTTTCATATCATTGTATTTTAAGGATCATTTATATATTTGGGATCACAATCCAGTACCAGCTCTATCTTTTGCAAATATTTTCTCTTAGTTTCATTGCCCCCACAGTTGGCTTGTCTTCCAAATTGCTTTTTAAAATAATTTGTTCTATTATGATTTGGTTTCAAATATCAGAAACAATTTGAGCAAAAAATAGAGCTCACAGAAAAGGTCAAGCCATAGGCTGAGTATGAATAGGAAATGGAAAGCCATTTGTCACATCTCTCTGACTTTCCTACTCTTTCCCCCTGCATTCCGCACTTTTCACGCTTTCTGCAAAACATCCAGCTGATTCTCCATCTATGCAGTCTCACAGATCTCCAGATCACACCTTAAGCTCTTAGCCAGGCAAGGAGATTACTTTGCTGCTTCTCAAACTACATTGATGAGAGAGCCATTGTGACTGGCTATAGCTATCCACTGGCTGTGGCTACGGGTGTGTTCCAATATGGCTCCTGTGCCTACACTTGTAAATAAATTGGTTTGCCCTGGAAGCATTTGTAGATGATGAGAAATTGTTATCTGTAAAAACAATCTTAAAACATGATTGATGCTGTTCTACCATTTTACAATAGCACCAAAAGAGTCAAATTAACATTTTTTTTTGCATTTTCAATGTCAGGAATAAAATATCATTACTAATGCTTTATGTCTGTTAAGACAATAGCATTTCTTAATTTAATGTCCACTTTTGATTGCTAATATGCTAATTTCATATCTATATTAGCTATTTGTACTCATCATTTTGTTAATTAACAGATAGTGTATTTTGTCTTTTTATGTAATAACCTTCAGTTTTATCAATTCGTGTTTTTTAATGTATAAGTATGTTAATTTTCATTATTTTTATAATTTTATGATTAAAATTTTTCTAATTTGTGGCTGGTAATTTCAATGTATATGGGACATTGAAATACAAGGGGGACCCCCCAAAAAACCCCCAGAATTTATTTATAAAAAATTGTGTATTTATTATTACATGTTTAAACTTCAGTAACTTTCAATGTACTTTCCTTCTGATGCAACACACCTATCAAGACTTTTCCAATGATCAAAACAGTTTTTGAACTCTTGGATTTTAGTATCTTTTAGTGTTTCTACCATTTTTTGTTTCACCTCTTCCACATCAGCAAAACATTTCCTGTTGAAGACTTTTTCATCTGGGGAAATGAAAAGGAGTCACTCAGGATGAGATCAGGTGAATACGGAGGGTAGAGCTTGGGGTTCATGCTGTTTTCTGGTCAAAACTGCTGAACACTCAGTACAGTGTGGGCATGTGTGCTCGCAAATCACCAGTCATGAAATGGGCAAATGCCTTGAGATAGTGTTCCAAAAAAAAATGAAGATGAACTCAGCCTCTCACAACAACATCTGCTTATACACTGATACAGATGGGTTCCTAGAACACACATATCGGGGAAACCTGTACTACAAGAGGCCTGCCTTCCAGAAGATAATTGGTTTTTTTGGAGTGTCCCCTCCTCATAAACAGGGTTTTGTGTATGAGCTAAATATACTGATATTTTATTTTGTGTGTTTCTTAATAATTTTAAGTTCTAAAAATTTCATCCAGTGGTTTTGTTTTTGTTTTGCTTTTTGTTATTTTGGAAACTTAAACAATTCTTCTTGAGATTTTAAGCTGTTAACATTCATTATGTTTTTAGAGTTTATTTATAATTGCTTAAATACTAATGAAAATGGTAACACAATCTGAGAACTGTCATATAAATAAAAAGATAATCCACTTCAATTTAAGGTAATAAGAGAAAATAT